TCCCGGGACAGGCATATCAGATTGAATCGCATAAGCACTTGAGGATTCATATTAAGAAATCTTTTGGGGCCAGTGGGCTACAGCATCCTGCCAGAGATGGGGAAGAGACTGACAACCGCAGCAAAGAGTATTGCAGCCAGCGTAATTAACTCCCTTACGTATCTCAAACTAGGAAAGAGGAGTGAGATAGTAATGCTCTAATTTGGCCAATGTGGGACTACAGGCATTAACAAGGTGGACTTTTAGGCAAACTGGGAATGCTTTCTTTGCTAGTGGAGATGTAAGAAGAAGCCTAGAAATGCTTGGCAACCACATATCTGCCAGGTCTCTGCTGAGCTTACTTTGCTCTATTGTTTTATTGTTGCTTCTTGGCTCTTCACCAAGAAGAAAGACAACAGGGACCAGAGACAGGAATTTGGCTTTTTAAACTGAATTAGAAATGAAACACTGTTTGAAAATGATACTTGTTGTTCTCTGCTGTGTTAACTAAAACAAAATTGCAGGAATGCTTTGTTCGCTATGAGATGGATCAGAGCCTGTGAATCCACAAAGCCCTTGTGATAAAGCCATTATGTTATTTCAATGTTAAGCCATTTCTCTGTTGTACTGTTCCCCTGTTTCACTATTTCAGCTTCACACTGAACCTGTAGTAGACGTAGATTTAATACAAGGGAAATTCTGCCAGTTGAGCAGTCTAGCATTATTTACAGTTCTACAACCGGTGTACTCCATTATAGTGCTCTCTATAGGGAGACATCTAAATAAATTTTGCAGATAGGGCTGATCAGAAAGAAAGAACTGGAAAGGAAAGAACATGCCTACATCAACCTGAATAGCATTGGTCAGATCCAACCCTCTACTGATCTCCTGATTTCACCTTCAACTTAGTGGTGTTGTGGCCTACCAGTGGCCAGCAGATCTGGCAGCAGACTTAGACAGTGAGGAGGTTGGAGAGGAACATGGGCCAGTTCTGGAGTCTGGGGAAGGCTCTGATGAGGGCTTTGTGTCAGAGGCAAAGAGGAGGCCAGAGCTGTATGCCGGTTATCAGCCGTTGTCAGAGTCAGACATCAGTGAGGCAGATGAACAGCTAGAGCCTATTCCCAGTGTGCGCATGCGCAGAGTTGCCAGACAAAGGGAACAACTAAAGAGCAAGGGTCGACTTGAGAGTAAGACGGTCGACTTG